GGTTGAATGCCTTCTCCAGATCCACGAAACACATGTGGACAGGTTGGGTAAACTCCCATGAACCCTCCGCCACCCTGAAGAGGGTATAGAGCTGGTCCAGTGTTCCACGGCCAGGACGAAAACCGCATTGTTCCTCCTGAATCCGAGGTTCGACTATCGGTCGAATTTTCCTCTCCAGTACCCTGGCATAGACTTTCCCGGGGAGGCTGACTACACAGCAGTCAGAGGCTATTCTTCAGCTACTTCACTACACGTAATGTTTGGAACAAGTAAGACTGATCATTTACCTGTTTCATATTCTACTCCTTGCATTCTCACCTGTGGATCGCTCAGCAGGGTATCCTGGCACCAGAGACCAACGGTGCACCCACGCTACCACTCCTTTGCCATCGAACACCTGCAGTAGTCACTCCTCTGAGGCGGAACCCCCAGCAGAGCACTGGAGTCTCCGATCATCGGCAGAAATCACCGTTTTCCTACGTCTAAGCCTCCAGCACAAGAGTCAGCGGACTTTCATCTCCTAGCCTGCTACTGACTCTGCTCTCCTTTTTCTTTCTCTCAGGCTCTGCGCCCTTCCTCCTGCCTCCGCTGCTATTCAGCCCTCCGAGTCTGGTGACAAGCAGCTCCCCTAGACACCTCAGGCCCGGATCTGATTCTTTGCTGGTCCGCATCGGCTGTACAGCTTATTTAATTTTAGTTCCTGTGCCCTTCCGGGGAAAGTAAAGTTTTGTTCTGAATCGCTCCCTGCCAACCTGAATCCGCTTATTCCTCACTCCGTTCACGCTCTCTCTCTCCTGATATGGAGAGAGTGAACCTAACACCCACAGGGTTGTGCAGAGATGAGGCTGTGTTTACTCATGCTTTAGAACAGGGTCGGCATCCTAAGGCACACATGCCACCCTTGGCACTGGAAAACTGGTGACAGAAGATTTGAATGTTTTTTTTAAAGAACCCTCTCAAATGCATGCCCAGTCACATCTTGAACAGCCGCTGGCTATTTTGCGGCCATCTATTGTGCTCAAATTCAGATCTTAATGGTGATTAACTTCATAGCTAAGCGATCAGCTCTGACACACCAATCCCTGCTCGAGGAAATACAAAGATCCCTCTCCACTCTGCACTTAGGTGGCTAAGCTACGGAAAACCTTTAGAGCGGTTTGTTGGCTGCTTTGACACTATCAAGGCCTTCTTGGCTGAAAAAGGCCAAATTTACCCAGAAGTTGAGGATGAGAAATGACTTGTGAAACCCATGTTTGAAAATTTGATGAAATTGTTGAAATTAAGTGATATATTCATGAAGTCAAGCTGCTTTCACACAAAACTAGAATGATGACGTCATTTGCTGTCACCGTCTTTGCTAAAACAAACTGAACTAAAAAGGAACTATATGACCTAAGAAACTCCAGCCCTCCATTACACCTCATTCCATTTATACAGGAGGTGGGGCGGATTCATCTCGTAAAAATACTACTTCTCGTTATTGTATTTTGGAGGGTCAACATTGACCTCCCCCATGCTGGGCCATCTTAAAAACAGAGCTACAATGAGGAACTTTCTGTTGTAGTAGAATTTAGAAAATCTCATTCATGCATTCACATCTAGTAGGGTAGACTACTGTAATGCAGTCCTCATCGGCCTCCCCTAAAAGACCATTACACAATTGCAATTCGGTCTCTCAACAGCCTGGGCCCAGAATATATCCGAGATACAGTACCATATGCTTGCTGAGTACAAACCTGACTGGTGTCTCAGATCTGCAGGGATGGGTCAGGTAGTGGTACCCAGAGTTTGAAATAACTTGAAAGTGCTTTTAGCTATTATGTTGCCCACAGCTGGAACCAGCTCCCATTAGAACTTAGATCTGCCCCAACTGTAGCCACTTTTAAAACTCAAGACTTTTTTTCCATTGCTTTTAACTAATGTATGTAAATTATACCCAGTTCATCACTTTATCTGCTTTTATCTTTCTTCATTACTCAATGACCAACTGACTTCATCATGCTGTTTAGTTGACTGTATAGACAATAATGTATTACATTTCCAAAACAAGTATGGCTACTTCTGTTGTTTAAGTAGGTTTGTCTTGGGAATACTAAGGAAAATGGGTACAAACGAGAATTGAGAGAATCCACAGTCTGCCTCAGCTATTCTAAAAGTACTAGGTATGTGCTGTCATGTAATTGTTGCTTTGGCCTGTAAATGTGGCCTGTGAACTGCAAAACCATGAAGACTTTACACAGACATGCATACAGCCTCCAGTTCCCCATGTGCCACCTGGCTGTCTGTTTAATGAGACGTAATTGCTTGTGAAATCAACAGTAATAGATTGCACACCTGTGGCTCATCAGCAGCCTTAATCCCTTGACTCAGATCTGATGTAACTTCATCCTCTGAGATGAGATGGCTGTTTAGAACCAGGTTGTGGCAGACTCAGTGAGCTTGAGTAATGTTAGACTTGATTCTCCAGCCCATTTTCATTTTGGCATTATGGCCAGCATTGTAAGATTAAAAACACTGTTTACTAAAAACTACCTGTTTTAGTAAACCTCTGTATACGCTTTTATACATCTTCAATTCAGTTAATGCTCAGTGTGAAAAACACAGCGCTTAAGCTGTGGATCACACAAACAATACATTCAGACACCGGTATTTACTGAAAGTGTGTTCCTGACCTCACACTGATGCAATTTCCTCACATACAACGCTATTCACAGGTGACACCAGCACCCTCACTCTACTACTATTACACTGTACCAAAAAAGTTATTTCAGTCCTATTGATGGCCTGGTCCTTCCTAGGCCAAACAGAGGACATAGAACATGCACATCCAAAAAACTCAAACAAGCGCTGAACAAAAACAGCTTAAAGGCAAAAGGCAAGAAAAAAGGTTCCCACACTGTGTTAAGCTCCCAATAATTTACTCTAATAGTAGCAGCAATGTTTTGCTCTATACAGGATTTTATTCAGGTACTGTCAAACAGGCTTCACCGTGAAAGGCACATTTTTATGTGCACCTGCTAAGACACCACTCAGGTGTTTTCAATATGACTAATTTGAAGACACGCTGCTTGTAAAAGGAATCAGTCAGGTCAGATTTAAAATACACTGTCTGAAAACTCCCCACCAAAGGAGTAAAATACCTCAACATGGGAGGAACCATCAAAAAGACAAACACAATACAGAAAACAGACACAAAAATATCAAACACGTAAAAACAATCACACAAGTCAAGACATGAAAAAGAGAGAGAAATCCTGTTTGAAAACTATGTTAATCCATAGTTTAACTTGGACAATGGTTGGCCAAAATATGGATAGTATGCCAAAAATGAACCTTTCTACAAAAATGGTTTTTGATCAAAATTTCAAATTTAGCCTTTAGGCAACAAAGTATTGAGAGTGGAAATATAAGATACCCCCCATCTTTTAAAGTATGTTATTAATCTCTCCTTCCCTTCTAGGACTTTCCACATGTTTAATCCCAATATCTCATCTCAGTCTTGAGTATCAGCTTCCTCCACATCAAAGGTGTGCATGCCACCTGTTAAATTTAGTCGCCATGACAGATGCTGCCTTAGCAGAAAAGAATAATGACGCATACAAATGGCTATCACATGCAGCCTTTGGGAAATGCCAAGCAATGTGTAACAAGTCAGCAATCCGGCCAAATCAGACCAGGTGGAACTCTACATACACAGCTGTGGAGAGAATCTTAAGGATCATTCGAGAGAATGGTGAAGACGCAATCAGAAATGTTTGTGAGCAATTCAAAGTGAAAATGTGAGTTTTATATATATATATATATA